AAGTTATTACAACTTATAGTTTAACAGATGAAATAACTGCAGATAATAGAATAGACCAAGAAGAGTAATCTTACTACTAATTTGGTGTCTTTTTTATGATCTATTGTTAGAAAGAATACAAGAAGATGAAACACTAGACTATATGGTAGAACAAGAAGTAACAGAAAGAATATGCAATAATAACATTACAAGCTATAGACAAGCAGCAATTGCATATGCAGATGACACAACATGAATCTTGAATAGTAAAGAACAAATGCTAAGAATTCTAAGCATTGCAGAAGAGTTTTTTGAAGTAAATAACATCAAAATAAATAGATCCAAATCAAAGCTTATAGTAATAAACACAAGAATAAAAAAAGAAAAAAGAGAAATCACATTTGAGCATAGTAAAATAAGAGAAGAACCTAAAAGCAAAATTGTATGCTCATTGGGAATCTGGCTAAACAGCAAAATAAAGAAAGCACTGATTTGTAAGAAAGCAAAAGGAATAGTTAGTCAAATAGTTAAAAATCTGAAATACAAAAAAATAATGATAAGCCAAATTGCATATATAAACAATATAGTAATAATTCCTAAGCTAGGATATCTTTTACAACTAACAAAAATATCAAAAAGAATAATTAACAAAATATATTAACTACTAATATGCTTAGCTAAGTATAAATGCAATATGATGAGAACAGCAAACAATTGCACAATTGAGCACAAAGATCTAGGAAATTGCAAAACACTAAGCCAAGAAATAATGACAAAACAAATAAGTAACCTCTTTTCAAGACTCAACAGATGAGACAATGTGGGTGAATTAACGAGGCTCAGAATAGCTCAAGGATGTCAAAAAGTAGGCCTAACAGAAGACATTTGGGACAATAAAAAGAAAATAGAAACCAAGAAGTTTTGGAAAAACAACTTAGCCTGTCAAACAATAGCTAAAGCGAAGAAAATAGGAATAAGCATTAAAGCAGAAAAACCTTTATGGAAAATTTACAATTATGATAAACAGATAAAAGACATATTAGAAACAAGAACATAGATAGCAAGCAGCAGCACAATAAACAAATAAAGGTTATTATATCTGAACCAACTTATAGATATAAAAGGTAACAACCTGATTACATGGAGGCAGCTCAAGAGTTTTCAAAGCCTGTCATGCAAAGGAAAGAAAGCTAAATGGTTTAGTAAGATAAAAAGAAAGATGCTAAGAATGCAAGTGAGTAGAGAAATACAAGATAATTACAAAGTAAGAGGATACAATACACAAGCATTAAAGATTAAGTAGACAAAGATGTCTGAAGACTGAAGGAAAAAAGAATAGATCACTTATGGACTGAAACACAACTAGCAATTAGACAAAGTAATTAAAAAGAAAAAGGTATTAACAGAATACTGGTCAATGTATACAGAAAAAGAGAGGATAGTAACAGAATTAAGTGTATGTAAAGGTCATGAAAACAGTTTAAAACAAATAATAAACAAGTGTGAAAGATGGATAAGATGAGACCACAATATGAGAGTGATATCAGAGTTACTAATAAAGAAAGCTAATAATAGGATAAATGCAATATTAGAACAGATACAAGAAAATAGAGCAATAGAAAAATAGAAAGGAGACAAGATGAAGTTGTTAGGAATAAGACAAACAGAAGAATTAGAAGTAGAATTGATTAGAAAACAGAAATTAAACAGCATGATTACAAATCAGTTAGTAGAGATATTTACATGAAACAAGAAGAGAAACAAGAGAAAATACAGCTTTTATACTGATGAAGTACTATATAAGAAAAAAGGTGAAAACAGCACAGAAAGAATGAGTAGTAATTGAATGCAAATAAAAGAAGAAGAAGATTGGCTAGAAGAAGAAACCACATTAGGATTTGAAGGTTGACTTTCAGCAACAATAGCAGAATTAGCAGCAATATGAACAGCAATTTTAATGATACCAGAAAAGAAAAGTGTAAAAGTATTTACAAATAGCATTGCAGTATTAAGAAACATTAGTAGAGCACTTCAAAACATAGAAGAAAAAAGAGCTCTGAAGAAGAAAAATGCAATATGGATATTAAGCATTGTAGGTCTAATCAAAAGCAAGAATATTAAGATAGAATTAACTAAGATTAAAAGCTATAGTGAAAACAAATAGAATGATAGAGCAGATTCTCTTGCAAAAAAAGAAGCAAATTGCCAAGATAAAATATATGTAGATAAAATCAAATGTGACAGAATAGAGTATCATTTAGAATAGGAAAACAAGAAAATTGACATACCAGCAAGACTTCTGTGTAAAATAATAGCAAATACCAGAATAGGAGCCAGTTGAAGAAAAATAAACCCAATACAAACATTAGAACCAGATACAGAAAATACACTACATAATTGGTCAAGCTTTTGGAAGAAAATGAACAGAACAAAAGAAGTCTATTGTATATCAAGAAAACTCAGCACAAGAAGAACTATAGCAATTAAATGCATAATGAATAACCTACTAACACTTGAGGAGCTAAATAAATAAAGGTCAGAAGTATATACAATGATGGAGTGCCAAGTATGCCAAGTTGGAGAAAAAGAAACTCAGACATATTTAGCAAGTTGTAGTGGACAAAAGAGCCTGTAGAAGTAAATTCAAAAAGTTGCAATAGCAATAGCATGAAATGAACTCTAGGAAGAAAAAAAAACAGAATTTTATCACAAGTTCTATATAAGGCATTATTTGGAGAAATAGAAACTAAAAAAATTATAAACAGAAGAGTGCTGATAAAGAAACTTATGATGCTAAAAGTAGAGAAAAGACTCGAGTGACTCTTAAGCAAGCAAACAACACAGAAGTGTATAGATATAGTAACAAAAACAGTATGGAACACCTTTTATGATCAAGTATAAAAAGTATAATGTGAAAAAATACAAGTCTAGAAGAAAAAGATCAATATAACAAACAAAATAAAAAAAGGTGATTGTGCAAGAGAAAAAACAAAGAAGAAGGTAAAGAAAGATAAACAAGCAAAAGAAAAAGAAAAAGAAAGAAAAGCAGAAAAGATAGACCAAATAAAGAAAGAAGCTTTGAAGACAATAAATATGCTTGTCACAAAAGGGGGAAGACCCTTTTAGTATAGTTTTAAGTAGTTAGACGAGCAGTCTATCTCTAACTAAGATAATGTGACAGGTTGCACTTAGGTACTATTAGGGTGGCTAAGTAATGCTAGACTTAAATATTGGAAAATTCTATATAATTATATAAATATATAGTTTTAAGAATCTTAATAAAATACTAGCATAACTGCTTAAGGTTAAAAAAAAAAAAAAATTTTTGAATAGATTCTAAAATATTATATTCAATATCTTCTTTTAATTTATTAAATTTTTTCTAAAATTTTACTTCTAACTCATTTATTATTTTTTATCAAACAGATTTCAGAAAAACTTTTATTTTATTTTTTAACTTTATAAATTTATTGCTTTTAATTTTGTCAATTAAAACTTTCTTGAAATCATTATTCTAAATATTAAATTTTGATAATTACAAATTAAAATATATAGCTTTGTCTAAATTTAAAACAAAAAATCTTATAATTTCTAAATATCTCTTTTATTTAACAATCAAAAATTAACAAAATAAAAATTATTTTACTAAAAACTTTAAGATACCTTTAAATTAAATATTGTATCTGTTATATAGATGCTTTTAATATTTATTTATATTTACTTTATTCTAAATCTGCTATCTATATTAATAACTTTCTAGATACTGAATCTCTTGCAAACTATTAAAATATTTGACTAGTAATGAGATGACATATTTAGAATATCATAAATAATTAAATTATGAAATTTTCAAATAAATTTGAAAAAAAGAAATATATGAGTGTATATAATATAAAATATAATATTTGTAAAGAGGTTGCTAGACTAAGAATTTTAAATATAATTTTTTTAAAATTGTTATAACCTAATGTTAAAAAATATATATATATGTTGTGTGTCAGATATATCCTTGCGTCAGATTGCAGCTAACGCACGTCAGATGACTACCAGATGACCAGCGTTAAATGATCTGCAATAATTGACCTAAATTACCCTGTAAGTTTCACCCTAACCCTAATCCTAACTCAGGCCGGGCGTCATCTGACGCAAGGATGCATTAGAGGCACAACATATATATACAATTTATTGTTTCTATCTTGAACACACTTCTATTGTTAAGTTTAATACTTGAGTTTTGACTATTAATATTTAAGATAAGTGAAATCTTCAAAAGTTATTTGTTAAAAACTTTCAACATTAATATTTTGAAAAAAATATGTTGTAAGAGTCCTTCTAGAAACCAATCACAATAACTAACTGTATCAAAATATTTTGTGTTATAATGTTCAAATTTTATTTATATTATTAAAAAATTAATTCTAAATAAGCAAATCATAAATAAATATATTATAAAAAAGTTTTTGTAAAACTTGTAAAAAAAAAAAAAAATAGCTTGAAATCTTTTCAAAAATTCCACACTTTTATGCTTTCTTTAATCGGGAAAAGTTCTATTTCTATATTATTAACATTAATAAAACTATTTATTCTTTTTAAGCAAGAAAATAATAAATACAATCAAGAATTTAGTTTATTTTTCAATGTCGAGACACCAAGGTTTGATTTAATATCTTGAAAATACCAAATTTAACTATTATAATCATAAATTTGGCAGACATTAAATCCCAGAAACCACAAAATCTAACTATTATAATCATAGACCGGTTTACGCTGGATTATGTACATAGCTGAATCTTCAAGAAACAGCAAACCTATGAACAATACTCTCTAAACCTTGTTAAAAAAATTATACTTGCTTGGTACAGCTAGTATTATAGTTGTTAGGCGAAACCTAGAGGTTTCGCCAATGGCGAAAGGTGGCGAAACTGGCGATAAGTGGCGAAACTAAAAATGTTTTACCCGCACATAAAGAGATATTTATTATTGATCTGTAGATACCTTGTTGATAGAAATTTTGAATTTACCTGTTCCCGGGACCCCATATAGGATAATACCTTTCGGAGGTTTAATCACCATTTCTTCATAAAGTTCTGGATGTGTTAGGGGTATTTCTACGGATTCTTTGATTCCTTGAATTTGTTGTTCTAAACCAACAATATCTGCATACGATTCTGTAGGTGCTTTCTCAAGTTTCCTAACACCAACCATTGGATCAGTATCATCTTGAAGTACACCGACAACAGACATAGGCTATTAGGTGTATATGTTAAAGAAGTGGACCAATAAAACAACAAATAAAATACGCGTTTTTTTATATACCTCGTTATTTAACAAAATTGAACATCCACAAATGATAAGATAATATTCTGATCCCGTAGAAGAAGAAACTATTGCATGATCGTAAATCATCCACCCGGGTTCTTTCTTCCTGAGAATAGTTAACATTATCATTGTCAAAAATATTATTGATATAAAAAATTATGAAAATTTTATAATTGTATACGGAGTGTATGGTACACGGGGTATTAATTTTATTTCACCCGAGTACATACACCCCGTGTACAAATAGTAATTGTCAAAAATTATAATGAAATAAAGAAGATACTTACTTGTGCTTTTTCTTCTTGTGGTTTTAATCTTTCTTGATTTTGAATAAACTCTTCCCCCATCAATAAATAATCTTTTATACGTTCCATTTTTAAAAGTTTCAGTCGACACCGGGATTCACGGCTTATATACCGGCGGGTAATTTAGACGTTGTGTCAGAGCCTCTTTTTTTTTTACCAACACGAGTTGAAAGTGGTGATTCCCATTTCTTTTGACTTAGTGCCGAAAGGAATAACAAAAGTATGATGACAAAATAAATTGTGCTGAAAGGAATAGCAAAAGTATGATAAAATAAATTATGCCGAAAGGAATAACAAAAGTATGATGATAAAATAAATTGTGCTGAAAGAAATAGCAAAAGTATGCCGAAAGGAATAACAAAAGTATGATGACAAAATAAATAAATAAAGCGCAGATTAACAAAGTCACATTCTGATATTTTCGTTACGGACTCGCGTTCTAACCGCTAATCCATATCAGAATGATATCTAAATTTTTGAAAATGTATTCCTTATAACCATACAAGGAATCAATAACTTGTTTAACTGGCTTTAAAATTTTAATATGCCATTGATGGGTTCGAAGAGGCTCAAAGCTTATGTATTAATTTGTAGTGAGATAATGAATTATTTACAGTAATCGATCTTTCCTAGCATGTGACTAATTTGTTAGTTGGCCAATCAGTCAACACGAACCAGCCCGAATAGACGGAATATCACGGAATTTAACTAGTTAATGATTTAATCGATTAATTAGTTGGAAAGTTGTCAACTAGTTGGTTTTTCAACTAACGATTTGGATCATTAGGTACTTTACATTCCATCGGTCAAAACCCTACCGTTAAATGTACCCGGGATATCTTTCATTCATAATTGGTAGCTCTCCACAAAATATCCCCCTCGTGATTTTTATCCAATTAGATCGAAAGATCAGGTGTAATTAAATCTTTAGAGTTACGTTAAAAGGCGTTTATTCTACCCAAACTATTTTGGACATCCCAAACTATGTGATGAATAATATCGCATGGGGTATTTACCTCACTATTATTCTAAAATCGTGTGATGCTATTCATCACATAGTTTGAGTAACATCGCTGAAATTTGACAAACTCTGTAATTTTGACCAATCAACATTTAAGATCAGGTGTAACGTGATAGTGGTGTTTTTTTTTCTAACGCTAAGTAAAAAAATACGTGTAAAATTAAATCTAAGAAACAGCGGTATAGGGTTATGATTAGAATAATGTGACAAATACTAGTAGAATTTCACGACAAACATTTTTAATTAGGTCGCAGAAAATGATTTCCAAATAAAAATTTAGAGCTATTCCTGGTTTTTGTAAAAAAATGTGGTCGTTTCGATTTTTACGTTACACCTGATCTTAAAATTCGATTAGTCAAAATTACAGGGGTGAACGATTTTTTGTGGGAGAGAGCGTTGGGATATACTATCAAGGAGAGGTACTCTATATGCCGAATATTAGTCATTCAACGAATATATACAATATATTTGATCGAATAATTTGAATAGGGAAATCTAACCTGATCTGCGTAACGTATTGTGTAACTGAATATCAAGACGTACAACGATCCGATAAGAAAACTAATTTTTTTTTTAAAAAAATTCGCTAACGATCGGATTATCCGACAGTTCATGGCCTAAGTCGGTTCGATACTAGTGTGGAAACCCCTATTAATATAGGAAAAAAATTGGTTTATAGATAAATGTATTATGGGTTATAATTCTATTGCTAATAATAACCTTGTATTACTGTTAGTAAATAGATCATTATCATTTTATCAAATAATAAGTTATCTAGACGAAAATATCTAGAACAATTTTATTTAATAAATTTAATTACAATGCAACCTCATTCCTTCCACAAGAAATAAATTTTTAAAGCAAATTATTTTATGCTACCTATTTCGTTCCTTCTATACGAGTCAAATATTTTTTGATTTTGTATTATTATGCACAGAAAACCAGATTTTATTAGATTTTTTAAAAAAATAAACTCTTGTGATTTTTTGTTTTTAGAAAATTTTACAACGTATAGTTCATATAAATGCAATGCAATAACCGTCGAATGTGGAACAAAAGAAAGGGAATAACTTCCCACGACCTTTCTTTATTTCTTAGAAGCTTTAACTGCTGCCTTGGTGGTCTTACCCGATTTATCAACTTTTTCAACAGACTATATTTAAAAAAAAGGGAAAATTGATAACTAAATGAGATTTAAAAGGAAATAACAGATCTAAAGTAGTGTACAAACCTTAATAACACCAACTGCAACAGTTTGACGCATATCTCTCACAGCAAAACGACCTAGGGGAGGATATTCGGAGAAAGCCTCAACACACATGGGTTTGGAGGGAACCATTTTAACAATAGCTGCATCGCCAGATTTAACAAATTTCGGGTTATCTTCAAGTTTTTTGCCAGAACGACGATCAATCTTTTCTTGCAATTCAGCAAATTTGCAAGCAATATGAGCGGTGTGACAATCCAACACTGGAGCGTAACCAGCACCAATTTGACCAGGGTGATTAAGAACGATAACTTGAGCATTGAAAGAGGCGGATTCTTTGGCAGGATCATTTTTGGAATCAGAGCAAACAAAACCTCGACGAATTTCTTTAACTGATACGTTCTTAACATTAAAACCGACGTTATCACCGGGGACACCTTGTTCTAATTGTTCGTGATGCATTTCGACTGACTTAACTTCAGTGGTAAGGCCAACCGGGGCGAATGTTACAACCATACCGGCTTTGATAATACCGGTTTCAACACGACCTACAGGGACAGTACCAATACCACCAATCTTGTAAACATCTTGAAGGGGAAGACGAAGAGGTTTATCAGTTGGTCTAGATGGAGGTTCGATTGAATCAATGGCTTCCAAAAGTGTCTTGCCCTTGGAAGAACCACTTTTAACTTCTTTTGTCCATCCCTTAAACCATGGCATGTTTGTAGAGTCTTCTAACATGTTATCACCATGCCAACCAGATATTGGAACGAAAGCTACACTCTTGGGATTATAACCAACTTTTTTAATGAAGCCAGAAACTTCTTTGACGATTTCATTGAAACGTTCTTCAGACCATTGAGTTGTGTCCATCTTGTTAACAGCAACAATAAGTTGTTTGACACCAAGTGTATAAGCCAAAAGGGCATGTTCACGAGTTTGACCGTCTTTGGAAATACCAGCTTCAAATTCACCAGTACCAGCAGCAATAATCAGAATAGCACAATCTGCCTGTTTAATTGTTAAAGTAAAAAATATAAGACAACAGTAAGTATAAACCGTAAGTATAAATAGTTAATATGAACTCATTTGGGGGGTCTCGATGTGAACGTAACAATAAAACGATTAGAAAGATTACCTGAGAAGTACCAGTAATCATGTTCTTGATAAAGTCACGATGCCCTGGAGCATCAATGACAGTGACATAGTATTTTGGAGTTTCAAACTTCCAAAGGGCGATATCGATTGTAATACCACGTTCACGTTCAGCTTTCAGTTTGTCCAACACCCAAGCATATTTGAAAGAACCTTTACCAAGTTCTTGGGCTTCTTTTCTATTGGTTAAAAGAAAAACAGCCCATTAAAAACGGATAAGAAAAAAAAAAAACAAAAAACTGATCATGAAATTTTATAATTGATTCTTACTCAAATTTTTCTATTGTACGTTTGTCAATACCCTATCAGTACAGAAATATGATATAACGTAGGTTAGTCAAATATTAGGATATAGTAATATAAAAAGAATCAAAAAAAAAACACAAGAACATACTCCACATTTATAAATAAGATGTCCTGTGGTAGTGGACTTGCCGGAATCGACGTGACCAATAACAACAACGTTTACGTGAGTTTTTTCTTTACCCATGGTCGCTGAAGATGAGTACGAAAAAAAAAGAAAAAAAAAAAAGATATATAGGTGATTTACTTTGAATAAATTATAATTCTTATAAGTTTTATTCTAATAATTCGTTCAGTCGCATTTGTAAGTTATAAGTTTTCTCAATTTTACGTATCGTTACTTTTAAAACCACCAGAAGAGTTACTGCGGCAAAACCGCTCCTAAATGGTTTTTTTTTTTCCTTTTTTTTTTTTTTTTTCTTTCGTAATTTCCAGTCAAAAAATATAGCAATAACTTTGTAGATTTGATACCAACATAGATGGATGGATGATTTACAAGATGGATAGCAAGAACGCACATAGAAATACTCACATTTAGGAGGCTATTAGCATAAAACAATTACGTAAAGGAGAGAAAAAAGGTGAAGAGGGAGGAAATCTACACAGCCAGGCTGAGCCTAATAAATACTATACTGAATTTGGGGATTATTTTACTTTTGATTTAGAAAATCAGTGGCCGGATCACTGAGTTCGTCTGTATGACACTGTGATTATGCACTGAATCAACCAATGTTAATAAATATCTACTGCCACTTAATTTTGGACCTTTTTTTTATCCACATAAATGCCCTTTTTTTTTTGAACCATGTGGGGAGCATGAAAGACAGTTATAATTGCAGTACGATCCACAAAAATGATACATTTATTATCGCGCTTCGTTTTAACAAAATTATTATGGCCGTTCCAAAACTAAATCTAAAACTAAAGCGGTGGAACATAAAAAAAAAAAAAATGGGGTTTCTCCAAAACCTTGATTGTTTGATCTTGGGCGCAGAAGATGTTACCAAAGACTTAAAACTTATTTGTATCACCGCCTTTGCATGTAAGGATTATCAAACTATCGGAGTTACGCACAATTGAAGTGTTAATTATCGACAACGTTTATAACTGCCTGTCATGAAATGACTAATATTTACTAAATTTTTGTACTACTAACCATTTAATGATCAACAAACAATTCAACAAATTGTTCAAAGAAAAAAAAAGACCATCTTATACTTTATCGTTATAGAAGTTAATTTATATTATCCGCAGCTATAGTACAATACTTAACGTTAATAGATTTAATCAAATTTATGCTTCATGGACATCAACAGGAAAAATCAAACTACACAGCATATTAAGAATTATGAGTTTTCAAATATGATTTATTTTTTCAAAGACTATCCGAACATCCTCCTTTTGTACCTACGTACCTATTCATTTCCGTTAATTTATTAGGTATCTTTCTAGGTCGTGCAAATTTCTTCTTTATAAGCTTCAAATCTTGATTCATACTATAATCCTTTAATGCCTGTGTTGTCAATTGTAGAAGGTAACCAAAAAGATCCTACAAATAATGGTCAAATAAGTATTATCGTAATCAGACTGCAATAAATATGGTAAATTATTATAGTACCATTTCCCGATTTTCTTTGGTAAATGGGCTTAAAACCCATTGAGAAATTGGCGTAGAATTCGCTGCAGGCCGTCCAATACCCAATCTGAACCTTAAAAATAAAGAAATCGAGCAATTCGAAATTTGCCATGTGAATATAATTGCATCAACTTATAGGAATGTCAGATGATACCTTACGAAATCTGTACCAATCACTGATACAATATTTTCTAATCCTTTATGGCCTCTCATTGCGGCTAATTCCCCTCCACCTTCGTAAAATGTTTCGAAAAAAATATTTTTAACTAACTTTACAGCAAAAAAGAAAAAGTCATTATTTAACATTATAACTAATTTATATTACCTTGAACCATCAATATACCTGGCTGTGTATTCAAGTCATCGGCTACTACTATCAACTTTTTAGAATCCTTAACTGCATAATATTGCATCACTTTTTGTACTGACGATCCTGATTCGTTCATAGCAGTCAACGGTTTCATTAAAATGATCCTCAAAGAATTCTATTTATTATTTCGATAATTATCATCTGACTATTATCATGATGTGTATATACAATAAGCACTTACAGTCACAGTAGATGACCCATTTGCATATGTAAAAGTAAATATTGTATCTCGTACATCAGCTATTAAAGTTAATTTATTCTTTAACCTTAATCAAATGAAACGAGGTTTTAAAGAATTAACAAACTTTACCTGATAAATCATACCGTCTATGGAAAACAGGTGGCATTTGTGCACCTTCTCCCTGTGTAAGCGCCATTGCATTTGCTAAGTAATCTATGAATATATATCCAGCTGTTTGTATAATTTGACGCGTCAAAGTAGTAAAAATATATAGTCAGTATGATAAGTAAATGTAACGAAGCACTAATAGGTAGGAGAATGGAATTTGCGAACCATTATGACGTGTGGTGGCATATTCTTGTCCTGAATTGCCAAGACCTGCAATCACGAAGTCAATTGGCCTTGACATTTTGTGAAAGTTAACGAATTATTCTTAGTGATTGGCAAAAATATTTATGGTAAAAAATCCTACACATTCAAATTTTTTTTTTTACCAAATGATCAAGTATAGTAGGGATAATTTTCATAATACCGTTACACGACCTTTGATCGAATCTCTTACAATCGTTTAAGCCATACAGTATCATTATTAACACCAGTGATATATGAAAGATTATCGAAACTATTAAGAACAATTTAGGTTTCACCCAAGGGAAACCGGACTTAGGGCCTTTAAGTTTATATAACTTACTGGACTTAGCCTATCCGATTTTTTAGGAATTGGGTCCAGTAAATCTAAAGGTAGTGGTTTGCATAATTTTGTGACCCCTATCTGCTAATCTGGTTGATTTTTTTTTTTAATGATTACAGCTGTTTTCATTATTTTTGGTACATCTAGTAAAAAATTGACCGAATGATTGTTTGACCAATTCGACAAGTTCTTGTAATAAAATGTATATATCTTTGCTAATGCAGTAATGAAACAATAATGATGAGTACTATACAGGGAAAACTTGTATGCAAGCGATAATTAGCGTTGATAGTATTATTTGAGTGTCGTCATCGGGCTTTCAACTATATTTGTATCGGGTACAACCAGTATAATTGAAAACCTGACAGGTTTTCATAGATGAACAAGCTAAAGGTTCTTTAGTCATCAAATCCATTGTTTCAATACTCTCATCTAATTCTTGCTAGTTTTCTTTTGATTTATATTTTGTAATAATCTTTATATATTAAAACTTTTAAATAAAATATTATTCTGATTTCGTTGATTATAATTCTTAATACAATTTCGACAAATATTAATAAAATCTTGATTGTTTAGAATAATAACTCGTGTTATATATTTTTTTAAACCAGTAATCAATTCTTTTCATCCTGAACTTTTTTTATTAGCGCCTGCACGTGTAATGTATTTATTATGAAAGCTTGTCTTATATTCGATACCTTTTTTATGTTTTTGTCTTGTTGGTTAGCAAGAACAAATCTTCGCCATGAATTTTCGTACAGATTAAACACACCAAATATTAGACATGCGTTCCAGTGAAAGCTTAATTTTGGATGCGTTGACATTGCAAAAAAATATCGATATATATAATTATCGTTATATTCAAATCAAAGTTTACAGCTGTTCTCATAAATTTTGGAACATCAGGTGAAACATTGACCGAATTATGTTTGGCCGATTCGATAAGCTTGTGATATGGTAGTGATAAACTTAAGTAATTAGTATATAAAGCGATATATAGTTTTACTTCATAGCAATAATATCTTCAGAACGATACGACAATGTCAACACATTTTAAATTAGGTTTTCATTTAAATACATGTTCAGTATGTTTGGTAAGTTTAGTCTGTACAAGAATTTATGATGATGATTGTTTTTTAAAACATAAAAAGAATGTGAATATAAGATTAAGTTTTATATATTTTAGCATCAAATTACTGTGTCAAATGCTGCAGCACAAGAATCCCAAGTCAAGGTCTCACCTTAATATCAAAAAAAAAAAAAAAAAAGAATCCCAAATATTTCTTACACAAACCACAAGTGTCTTTGCATAAACTCCAATTATTTCTGCACAAATCCCAAGTGTTTTTGCATGAATCCAAGTATCTAAACATAAGTTCTAAATGTTTTAAGCACAAATAACAAATATAATAAACAATATCACTAGTTGTTTCTATACAATTCTTACTATCTTAAGCATAGTATTATTTAATATTGTTTGAATCTTTATTATCTTAAGTACAATAATATCTACTGTATTTTATAGGTCAAACCACCCCTCTGTCGGATTTTGCAGATATTTTAATAATACATATCGGATTTGTATTATTACAGACAATTGCTATTATAATTATTACAACAATTGTCATATGTCATTATTACAACAATTACCATTACCAAATAGCTGTTCACAATTTAAATTAAAACAGAGTATTTGTTATTTCATCATTAAATTTTGCCGTATATAATTTAGAAAATAGTATAGTTTGTTTTATTTTCTCTAACATATAATCTTTATTTTGATAATTGTAATAAGAGATTTGTAAGAACAAACGGATTCTTTTATTTATTAAACAGGGAATTATGTCTTTTTTATAAGAACAAACAAATCATTTTGTAAATTTTTTTAGTTATATTTGCGAGAACAAATGGATTAGTTTTAGTTATATTTGCAAGAACAAATGGATCACTTTATAATAAATATTATATATATATGACACAAAAATGATCATTTTTTTTTAAAAAAAAAATGATGACATTATGTAATAAAAGTATTTCTAAAACTTGTATAACAAAAAAATTAAAAAGAAAATAGAATGCTCATGAAAAATTAAACATTATTACTTACTATGAACAAAATAAAGCAAAACTAAGTATTAATGAAACATGTAAAATTTTTAGAATTCAATCGAATCAATTACGTAACTGGATAAATAAAAAAAATAAATTAATTAAAACTTCACCAAAAACATTTAAACTACATGACAGACACTCACCTCATTATCCACAAATTGAAACAGTTTTAGTTAATTGGATTATGGATCAATGTCAATTACAAAATGCTGTTACAAGAGAAATGATAACTGCAAAGGCAATTTCACTTATGGATCAATTAAATCTTCAATCATTTAAGGTGTCAAGTAACTAGCTTAATGGTTTCTTGAATCATCATAATTTATCACTTCGATGTCAGACAACTGTTTCACAAAAACTACCTGAAGATTTAGAAGAATAATAATAAAATTTCTTTAATTATATTTTAAATCTACAAATTCGTTACAATTATCCCTTATGTTTAATAGGAAATATGGACAAAACTCCCCTCATATTTGATTCACCAAACCCATCAACAATCGAGACTTGAGGAATCCATACTATTAGCATTCGAACTACTGGCTATGAAAAAAAAAATTTTACAGTTATTCTTGTGTGTCTAGCTGATGGAATAAAACTGCCATCTGTATGCATTTTTAAAAGAAAAACCTTACCTTAAGAGAATTTTCCTCATAATGTTTTTGTTCGGATAAATGAAAAAGATTAGGTTAATGAAAATGAAATGCTATGGTGGATCGAAAACATTTGGGCTAGAAGAGCACCTAACAATTCACGATCTCTTTTAATACTTGACTCCTTTCATGCACATTTAATAGATCCAGTTAAAGAACATTTGCTTATTCATAATACAAATATAGCTGTAATTCTCAGTAAACTTAAATCTAAGTTACAGCTACTAGATGTTAGTATTAATAAAAGTTTCAAGTCAAAAATCCAGGTGCTTTATAATCGTTAGATGTCAGAAACAATTCATAAACTAACTCCTTCAGGACGTATTAAGAGACCATCATATTCACTACTTGCCTCATGGGTGAAAGTTGCCTGGGATTCACTTGAACCAAGTTTAATTAGACATTCATTTGACTGTTGTAAAATTTGATTTTTTTTTGTCATTATTTGTTAGCATTATTATATATAAATAAACTATCATATGTACCATTTAAATATCCGCATAACTGATAATTATTTTATGACAAGGGGGTGGTTTGGCCCATAAAATACAGTAATATTATTAAATTTTTATTACTCTAAATATAGTATCAAGTAATGTTATTCAAATCTTTACTATTTTTACTAAATAAAAAGATATATAAAGGGTATTTTTTCTGTTAATTTTAAGTTCTTATACTTCAACCTAGACTTTTTTATCTTTAATCTTAACTTATAAAAGTGATATTTCTCTTCTAAAATAATTCTTACAAGTAAGGTTATTATTATGTGTTTGTTTAATAAAATTAACTTATATACTATTATTATCTTAAATTATTTATTTGTTACTATGTAGTAAAATGAACCATTATACCTTTATTCTGTATATATTTATAATAGTCAATCACTATATTAGATGATCTTGTTATTTAGTTGTATTGTACTATGAAAACTATAACCTTATAATAGTACTTTATTTTATTATATTTAATCTTTTTTACATAAATTATTTCTTTACAACTTGTTTCTTTTTTTACAAAAAATCTGCTCTATTATTCTATTTGTTTTTAGTATAACTCTTGACTTTAATTAATTCTAACTTAGTATTTTTTTTTTTGAATATTAAACTAGTCTCTTTTAGAACTAGAACTTTATTCAATAAATTAAAACATAAAAACTCATAACTAAAGCCTTTAAAAAGTCACCTTATATTAGAAAATACAACTAGTCACACATACACTTTTGGTGTCTAATTTAAGTAGTTTGCTAATGGTTTTATACTAGTTACTATACTTGCAACCCAACTAAGAATATTGCTTATTTAAACCCTCTGTGCTGCAATTTTTATTGTATTACTAGATCATCTTTAATATAAACTTTAGTTAAGAAGATCTAGATATTGCGACAGGTAAATGGCGAGTCTGTTGCTCCAACGGACAAGACCTCATGTAACGATACTAATACGGCAGAACAAGACTTCAAGGTGTGGATTTAATTTGGCAAGTATAAGCCTTTACTTTATTTTTTTATTCAATTTACTCTATTTGATACCCTAACTAACTACTACTATAAACTATCTACTTTTACTATGATGGTTTCGATCTTTTCCCAACTATTTGAGGCGCGAAAGATAAGTGTTTTATTAAACTTTCATTTGCTTTATATACATTTTAGTAGATACTAACAACCTCTCTATTTAATTTAGCTTGCCCTCCTACTTTCCCATCATTCCGCCACTACGCAGCTGTACCATCATGGGTTTTACTAGACTGAGTAAGTGTTATATTCTAAATTGTTTCACTTTTACTTTACTCTATTACAACTATACTAACTTGTCCCCTTAATATTTGGATCCTGTCTCTCTGGAACATTGCCGCTATGGCCTAAATGCCTTCCCTAATTCGGGTACAACCGCCTTATCTTGTGTTTCTTAGTGTAGGGGCCCGATTGTATGTGTTTCTCTGTTTCTGGGGGGG